CCGAAACGTGGTTAACCGTTGTAACACGAAGGAAGAAGTGATTTCCTCAGTTTGAGCTGTCGTTTTCTTTGAGAGTCAAATACCAGTTCACGTTTCAAAGCTCTCTTTTCATTTTCTCTGCCGACAATAGACAAAAACACAGGGTTTCTCTTGAGAAATACAGTCCAAATACACAGACATATGCGCTCATGTCACGCTATTTGCGTTGCCTTATCATGTCACACAGGGTGTCACGGGGTGGGATTGAAAGTAATTGTTTTCGTGTACACTTGCAATGTTTGCTACACTGTCCTTAGTTTTTTATTGAATTGGCCATGAATTTACCTTCACTTTTCCGTAGTTTCGATATTGAACGCAGTGACGGCCGCTCCGCACTAACGCTCCATATTTCCGTGGCCGGCCATTGACTATCCCCACTACGTGTCAATCCTTACCCTACCCGTGATTGTTTGCGCCTTAAAAATCGGATAAAGTGAAGAACGAGAAATATTCACTTTATTACAAATATTTTCAGTACGCATACCCTTGAAATTCATCAAAAGTTGTACATGTGCGCGAGTTTCAGCGTCAGTTTTTAGCTTGTAAACCATATCCACGTTAATTCTGGATATCGCAGCCCTTTTATTACGTCATCACGTAATTCGAATTGGCCCTATAATTCGGTGGTGAATAAGTCAATGTCCCCCCCACCACCAATAACATAATTATGTCTTTGATTCCTTTAATTTCAGTTAAAATCAGTGTCATGCACGGCTCAACTTGTCTGCAGTAGCACAATTTTGCATTCAGACAATGAGGGACAAAAGTGTTGACACACTTCAGTAAAATGGCCCCTTTTTGCATAGTGCATATTCTTATCCCCTTCCCCTGTTTACCCCAACCCCTTCCCCCCCAAAATCAATGTTGAATTTTGGACCCTCGAGTCTTTTTTTTACTTCAGACAACATTGATTCGGGGGGTGAGGGGATTTACGGCGTTTAAAAAGAATGAAATAATAGATGAATTAAATGTTTGTTAAAAGCACCTGTTTTAAACAAGTGTGTCAACTACTTTTGTCCCTGATTGTAGCTAAAATGTGAGAGTAAACATTGGTTTTCCTGTGGTGCGGACGGCCGGTCGGCGGTCGGTGTACGGTCACGTGATTGCCAAATTTTCTGCGATGGGTAGATTTACTTAGCTATGGGGCTCTGCGCGCGCGTGGAGCTCCGCTATAATTACATTTTACTGCTTATTACCTAGCTTTTTACAAATTCATAATTCATATTTATGTTAATTTCCTCATTTTACTTTTATATCAGGCGAAGAGCCATACCATGGTTGACTGATATTAAACCGTTATTATTATTATTATTATTATTATTATTATTATTATTGTTATTATTACTTCCTGCATGTGACCCCTGTCACACTAATTGTTTCGCTCAGCCAATTAGATACCAGCTATCACATGAAGAGTTAATGCCTATATTTTCGGGAGACAATTTTCCACGGGGGTAGAGGGAGGGTGAGTTAACTAGTCAGCGGTGTCCTTGAACGCTGCGGTAGGTCCTTGATGTATGGGATTATATATTGTATTGATTCCAAGTGACGAGGATGATTGAATGGGGCCAGAAATCAAAACCAAATTATGGAAAACCGATTATGGAGAATGTTTGCCTCCCAATAACAGTGTTCTCCACAAGTCACAAGTAGTTGGATGTAAGTAGTTTTATTCACTATTGTTGGTTTTCACATGACGTCACTAAAATTCAGATTTAAAAACTATCGATCCTACCGAGATTTTACTTCAAGATGCATTAGAGCAGCTGAAAACTAATTTTCATACAAATTTTGTCTTCAAAAGGGTTTTTCGTTTTGTGATAGAGTACGCTTGAATTTCTAAGCTTTTGCGTGACGCAGCATTTACGTGATGGCTAAGTGAGCTAAGTGGCTAGGTCAAAAAAGTGACTTATTTCAGGAAATTTTGCTATTTAAACTATTCATGTATTAGAAAAAGTATTATTTTGTAGCAAAACTCGGTAAAAGATGTTTCTGTTGGTTTCCGTCCGCCATGCTGGAGCTCATCCAGGTGAGCACCAGCATGGCGTCTCCATACAAATCTCTATACGTTTGGGTAAAACATTTCTTGAAATATCTCGTATACGAAATATTCCTCTGACCTGAATCTTGGCGAGGGTCCTTGTATATGTACCTCCTTTCATTTTCCAGATTCTGGACTTTATCTATTGAAGGGTTTCGATTTTATTTTGACATCTTTTGAATGGTGTGACACTGAAAACTAGCAATTCACTCTTACTTAGTTTCACAGCAATCACGATGTCTCTAAAAATATTAATATA